CATTGTTACATGATTTATATATTGCCAACCCAACCGTTCGATTATATTCCTAACACACTCTCCTTAAAATTAGGAGCAGGGTCATGACAAAGGTAAATTGAATTTTATTCCATTGAATTTGACTAAACTTTGAATTAAAATGAATTGAAATATTATGACTCTGTAGTCATGTATTTAATAAGTTTGCCCTTTTCTCCCAATAAAAATTAGTTTCAAAACATGACACCATCTTGAGCCCCATATCAACCAGTGGGACCTCACTCCAAAATATGCATAAGTTATGGGCTTCTTTAGGTTCCAGAGAAACTCTGAGGTTTCATTAGAATTACTAATTACAAATATTAAGGAAATATTTGTTTTGTGAATGATTTAGCATTATGGGATTTATGAAATATTCTGCTAATTGGATTATGTACAGGCTCGCCATTATTATCAGATTATAAAGAAGCCCATGGACTTGTCCACTATTCGGAAAAAACTTCAGAAAGAAGACCAACTACATTATACCTCTTCAGAAGAGCTGGTGGCTGATGTGCGTCTTATGTTTTGGAACTGTGGAACATTCAACTATGTAAGTTCCAATATTCCAGAATTCAGCACATATTTATACACAAAAAGGACATGGCTTTTCTTTTGCAATGGATAGTTTTATTTTAGTTTTTAAATGATATTGTAGATAAAGAAAATATGGAGTTGGTTAGAGGTACAATAAGAAAAGATGCATATAGAAAATCACTGGTATTAGTTCTGGTTTGAATATTTTAATTTTGAAAACTGTAATTCAAAATAATTTTAAGGGAAGTAAAGGAGAAAGGAGTACTTCATCCTTTTATTCTGTGCCCAGCTACTTTGAAAGAAAAAAATCAAGGTACAAAAAATGAGGGAACTAGTACCTGCTGTATTATTTTAGACGTTATAGTTCACATGTCTTCAGCAAATTGTAATTTATTGTCATCATTGCTTGTCTTCATCTATTTTATAAAAAAATTCTAGTAGTAAAATACTGAATCTGAAAAACCTGTCATTCAACTGTAGGGCACTGGAGACTATTAATAGCTTTTAAAACTTTATTAATTTTCAAAATATTGAGTTTGACAATAGATAAGGAATCTAGAAGAATGGTTAATCTGTGTTCTGTTTCAGTGCATAGCTGCCATTCATTTCTTATATTAACAAGAATCCATGCTTCTTTTGATGTGCTGATAATTTTAAATTATATTCAATGTACACATTATAATAATATACTCAGCTCATGTGAGATCACACACTGATTTACAGTCAATGACATAAAGCAGTCACTAAAATGATTCATTGGAGCATCTGTAGAAATTACCATATGCCAGGTATGAAAAAATAGGAACATATAGTTGAAAAAGTAGTGGATAACAAGTAGATTAAAATATTGTGAGATTTCTGAATATAAACTGATAAAGTATTGGTTGATAACACACTGCATTTAACTGAGATTGAAAAGGAAGTGTGGATAATTGATGTGATGAGATGGTAGAATATAAGAAAAAACTGGAGAACATCAGAGATATCGAAAGCTGAAAATCAAAAATGAAAGATGCATATACTGGCTGTGGTGGTCTCAGTGGGTTACTAATATACTGGGTGCCATACTAAAAAATCTTGGAAAGCGCTTAGAAAATGTGCACATTGACAAAATTCCCTGTCAGTTGCAAAAGGCCAGATTGCTTGGATCCACATGTATACTATGCTGATACATAATGATATTCTACATTATGACATTCTAGGTTCTTTGAAAGAATTTGATGCATATGAAAGCCAATATCAGATGAAGAACTGGCAGCTCTAACTTCACATTATTGTGGACAGATAATTTATTAAACTTATGTACCAACCACTCTGGGTCCATTACATAGTATAATATATATTATAACGGTACCTTGGTTCTCAGCTGCTTTGGAACTCCTTGAATATGTACTCAGTGCATTTTGACACAAACATTTTGTCCTCATTGTTTGTTTTGTACTTGATGCACAAGCTAGAACTTGTTGGTGTTGGCTGCCTTGTGACTCATTACATTATTCCTTATGGGAAAAAACTGTTTAGTACTCATCAATTTTGGTATTATCATGCCTGCTGGAACTAATTAAGATGAGTACTGAGATACCACTATATATATTATGCTAACATATAGTATTGTTTATTTTGACATGCTATTGCTGTTGACCATTTTTCTTAGTCTATGTTGCAACTAATCTTTTGGCTTTATACATGAGCTGTGGTGGCGCAGTGGTTAGAATGCAGTATTTGCAGGTTAATTCGGCTGACTGCCAGGAGTTTGATCCTCACTGGCTCAAGGTTGACTCAGTCTTCCATCCTTCCGAGGTCGGTAAAATAAAGACACAGATTGTGGGGAACAAAACTGCTTAGAGAGGGCTGTAATGCATTGTAAAGCGGTATATAAGTCTAAGTGCTATTGTTATATTGTAATATATGTATGTTACTATAAAGTGATTTAGTTTTTAAAAATAAATATCCTTAACAGGTAAAATAATAAAGACTTATTATTCTAAATAACATTATGACAAATTAATTATGGTGTTTCTTTTGCAGCCTGATTCAGAGGTTGCTGAGGCTGGAAGATGCTTGGAAATATTCTTTGAAAGCAAGCTCAAGGAAATTTATCCAATGAGGCAATTCCCCTTGGTACAACAAGATGATTCTGATTTAGAAGATGTGGAACACGAGAATAGTCAAGCAACCCCGGAAGGATTGCAGTGGCCTTCATATAGGCAAGAGTGTATCCAGCCTAAAAGAAGACGAAGACATGCTGTAAGAATTTAAGAGCAAACTCCCCTCATACCTAAATGGCCACAAAGCTAATTCTGTTCAAAGCTGTTGGTAGAGTTGATGTGTTTGAGAATATATTCCCAAATACTGTTTAGATGAAGGTGTTCCTTTCCATATATTATCATAATGTAGAGTCTATTATTTAGGCACACCCACAACTTCATTGTGAAGAGACTGTTGAATAAATCAGGATATGCTAGAGTTGCAGATTTATACATATCAAAATTACATATTTGAAATTCACCTGTTCGTTTCCTTTTTTTTTTAAACAGGAAAATGAAAAACCTAAAAGACCCATGTTTTGGCCTGCGAAAGGTTTCTCACAAGTGTGACTTCTGTAACGTTGCTTGGTATACTATGAACAACAGCAACAACAAAGGAACTGACTTTGTAAGAGGAGGTGGAAAATGTGTATTTAAAGGCTTAATATGAATTTCAGAATGATTGATTGATTTTATTTCTGTGAAGGGAGGATACATTCTAAACATTATATATTTTAAAGGGCAGTTTCCAAGTTATCTGTTATGTTTCATTATTTGTATTTAAACAGACGTTTAATCATGAAATAATAATTAATAATGGTATGCTATTTTTAAAATAATTTTATAAATTCCTTTGATTTATAGTTTTTAGGTGATATAGCTACCTGGCTGTTTTCTGTATGCAGGACATATTTCCCACTTGGTTTTCCTGAAATAAAATTAACTGTTATATTATAGGTAGCACTGACTAAGTCTATCCTCTCCTACACTGAAGAAACTGAATTCCACCTTGCAGTGCCATTCTAGGCATGTGATGTTGTTGGCTAAGCCGTGGGTGGTTGTCTATATCCTAAGAGACTAAATGAGACAGGAAGTCTTGGTTTTTTACTTAATAGAATTCTAGAATGTGACTCTACAAGAAATAAATGGAAAGCACACCATGCAAGAATGTTCTCTTGGGAGGTTTGAATACCCTTCTGACATCAGGAACTCATACTACAGATATGTTTAGATTATCCTAATTCTTGCCTGATTTCACTATAAAATTTAGAGGATGTTATTGGAATCCATCAACAAGTGTGGGTTTTTGTAACTATCAGAGTGATAAGAGGAAGAGAATACTTTTCTTGCCCCCTTTTGATCAGTATGGAATCTAATTTGAAATATATTGAGCCCTGATCATGCTATATTCATAAACCCACCCATGTGCCTCATACTCAAACCCAAGTGAATTGTGTAATACATACAGAGGGAGTGGAGGTATGGGTGATAGACATTTTATCTTCCCCAGTTCTCATCTCTTAAAGCAAGGGTGATTTAATAGCTTCAAAGGATAACAATTTCCCAGATATACTAGGATATACTAGCTAGACGATACTTTAAATCAGTGTTTCTCAACCTTGGCAACTTTAAGATGTGTGGACTTCCACTTCCACAATTTCCCAGCCAACAAGGAATTTTAAAGTTGCCAAGGTTGAAAAACATTGCTGAACACCAAGAGGAATTTTCAGCACAATATGAATTCATTCAATATTATATCTATGAATATTTCAGTGGAAGGCACTTTAAGTGAGTTTATAGAGTTATTAGGAAGTTCAGAATATTTTCTCCATGATTGATGTGAAAAATATTCAACATAAGCTTGTAGAAAATGTCTCTTTTTCAATTGTATAATAAACTAGTCTATGAAAGAAATGTAAATTGTTTTGCTACATTATTTCCTGGCAGGTAAAGTTCTTAGTGCAATTCTTCCCAGCAGTCTTAATCTGTTTATGAATGGTACTTTTAGCTTTAAAAAATTGGTGTCTGGATTTCAAGCAATTCTGTTGGCCAGGTGTTCTATCTTGATGGCCTCCAATTAGTGGATTCCCATACTTATTTGCTTCTCCTACACATGCTGCAAAAATAAGGACTGATCACTTTTCTTTCTGTGGATGGATCTTTGAGGATACATGGTTTCCATTTGCATGAGCAAACAGTGGCTAACATCATAGAGCCATCGTTATATGGCTTATAACATAGTTATATGGGATTTTAGAAGTCATCTTCTCCAATCCCAGGCTCAGTATAGAGATTGCTTTCCTATTCTGAGCAGTTCAAATCCATCAGTGGGGAACCCACAGTTTCTTAGTTCTTCCAGTTACCTATTCTTCCATCACCTTCTTCTAAAAGAAGAACAGTGAACTCTTGTCAATTTCATACGGCTCAAAAATTTTCTTCTTTGACAATTTGTACAGGGGAAATGAGGGCAGCAAATAGCCTCAGCACTTACCTAGGGATATTAAAAGAAAAAGAAAAAGCAATGTCCAATGTTTCAATGCACCACCAATGAACATTAAGAAAACACACAATTTTATCAATGGAGAAAAGGGCAGTTTAGCATGAAAATGTTCCTTATGAAGTGGTGGTGGTGAGCAGGAAGCTTTGTAACTCAGATGATTGACATGGAGGGCTGCATCCAAATTCAAAGGGCAGGGGCATGCTCATCAGACAATAGCTGTTTGGAGCAAAGGGATCACCTATAACAAAATGAGGCAGAAGTGAGAAAATAACAAACATGGGCGGATGTTTTCTTTGTGGTAGGTTGCTGATGGGTTGAGGACAACATTGTGCAGTTCTGGCCTAGGAAAACAGCAAACTCCTGCCTAGCATAGTTGGCAATTGGTTGTAAGTGCAAACAGATTGCCAAATGCCCAGATTGCAACCAAGCAACCATGGGGTGCTAGGATGGGTGGAACTGAGGACTGGTTGTAACGATCATTTGTTCAGTGGCATTGCAACTTCAATCAGTAGCTGAATCAGTAGGTCATAGGTTAAGGTCTTTCTGTGTTGCCTTCCTTTTATTTCCTTACATTACAAGTAGGAACACTAGAACTTTGTTTGTATGAAACTAAACAATGAGCTCAACATTGCTATGAAGTTTCCATGGTCCTACAGAGGAAAGTGGAAACGAAAGAACATCCTGTTCCTTATTAATTTTGATTATCGTAGTGTTGGAACCACAAAGGTACCAAAAGCAGACCAAAAGGATTAAAAATAGAAACAGTCTGTGTAAATGTTAAAAGATGTAATATAAGAGGGCTAAATCTCTCTCTCCATCTCCCTCCCTCCCCCCCTCCATGTGTAAAAGCATCCATGTATGTAAACATGAAGGAAAGGTACAGGAAGTATTGACAAGGGGAAAATCCCTGAAAGGAAAAGGCAGGAACTGATAGACTATTCCACATAGAAGCCAGCCACTGAGGTTTGCCATCTCAATCTAGTGGGGAAGAGCAAAGACTAGGAGAATTACCAATTAGCCCTGTAATGTGGCCCCACCAGCTGCCTGGCCCCACTGTCCACCTATTGCAACACAGATCCAAGTTTCTGAAGTTGGTAGGAGCAGCACAGGAGAGAAGCAGTTTGGAACTGCCCAATTTCTTTGCTTCCATCCAGCAGTTCAAATCTAGCCGTCACAGTCAATGCAATTACTTTCTAAGCATCTACTGACTTCCTCCTTTTGTATTACTAAAAATTACTTTCTACTAATTGTGTTTAGAATAGAAGCCTTAAGGCTAGCTTACCTTAGAAGTAAATTTCCTGAAGTATAAATCTATATGACTAGGACTGTATAGATGTATATAGAAGATTGATGATGATGGTATCTATTCAACTGTGTCCAATTCTTGACAATTCTATGGACTAGGCTCTCTCCACATTTTCTGATTTTGTATGGTTTCTTTCAATTTTATGCTGTGACTGTTGTCAGCTTTAAGGGTGTCCAGTCACGGTGTTTTTGGTGCCCTCATTTGTTTTTACTGCTGAGCATAAATGCCTTTTCCCAATCAGTTTGATCACCTGACATGGTGAAAATAAGTAAGATTTTTGTGATTTTGCCTTCCAATAATACATCTGTTACTTGCTTGTTTGTCCCCTTTGCTTAACAAAAAATGAACAGGAGCCTTCTTCAATACTACAACTTGAATAAGTCAAGTTTTCTGCCTAATTTTTCATGGTCCAAATTTTGCAACACTAGATAGCTATGGGAAATATAGCAGTGCAGACCAGGGATGGGGTTCTGCCGGCATTACTACCGATTTGGTGCGCATGTGCAGTTACCTATAAATAGGTCTGCGCATGCGCAGAACATTTTAAAACATCAAAAAAAGATGTTGCAGCAACTGGGGAACTGGTTTGGGGGCATGGCGAGCATGCCATCCCTACCAGTTTGGAGACCCAGTCGGCATTTCCACTACCGGTTCCACTGAACTGGGGTGAACCAGTAGGAAACCACCCCTGGTGCAGACCAACAATTTGGTTGTCAAGCTGATGTCTTTGTTTTTCCATACTCTATTTATGCTCATCATTACTAGATGCAAATGCCAGTTAAAATATAGCTCTTTGATGAGAATACAAATCCACGGTGGCATAAGACATATACTAAAATGTTTTTGTCAACTCAACTTATCCATACATCACCATCCTTGTATTCACTAGCAATTTCCAGGTTGCCCTGAAATGCCTGCTGGGTCATCTGTGGCCATAGACGCAGTTCACTGGAAACAAATTAAATATTTGTTTAGTGAGCAAGCCATTAGTCTCAACAATGATGTTTGCACTTGATAAACAAGATAAAAAACATCGTGACTGGAAGTAGACCTGAGAGAGACTTTGTTGAATTGAAATGTCTTTAAAGTATTTTCTAACATTAATTCTGTTCCCAAAAAACCACAAGTAACGCCCATCTTTAAAAAACAAATATATACCCAAGTATGTACCCAAGTATATATTTCAATATAGCTTATTAGAATAGAACCTGGTCAATTGTTTGAGAAGAAAATTTGATGAAAATGAATATTATATGGATAGATTGTCTTCTATTCTTCATAATTGTCTGCATGTATTCTCAAAATACTGTATTTCGAGCAGAACCTTCAGAGCAGATTTTGCAGTACATACAATAAATCATTCTCTGAAAGCAAGAGGCTATGTCACCTATAAGCAAACTTTTTTGGCCATATGAACATTAAATCCATGCATAATAACATATATGTAATAACTTGTACATTGAGTTGTTAACTAAGTTCTGAAGGCATAGATGATAGTATCTGTGTTTTCCTTGTACTAAATCCAAAATAACAATTGGCTTTAGGACATACTGAAACTTCTGTTATTAATATTTTCTCTTATTGTTTCATTAATTTTATTATGAGTAATAGCTTTTGAAATTCAGAGTGTGAAGTTTTTGGTTCTTATAGCAAATAAATCATCAATCTGATAAATAATGATAAATAATTTTTTCCTAGGCAACCAACAAGCTGGGTTCACCTGGTACATTAGGATAATGTAATTGGGAAATTTGTGTTCAGTGTATTGTCCTAAGTAATTACTGTAAGTAAACTTATCTGAACTATGCAACCTTGATAAACTATGGCTTTTGTGAGCAGAGTCACAACATTGTACTACCACCATTCCTTCTCCCTGAGTGATTGGAAATGTTCTTAAGCAAGATTAGTATAGGTAGTCCTTGACTTACAACAATTGAGCCCAATGTTTCTGTTGCTAAGTGGGTTTTGCTCCCTTTTACGACTTTTCTTGCCATATTTGTTAAGTGAATCACTGCAGTTGTCAAATTAGAAACACTGCTATTATGTGAATCTGGCTTCCTCATTGACTTTGCTTATCAGAAAGTAAAAAAAAAGGTTATTACATATCCCCAGGACATTATAATCGTGATAAATATGAAACAGTTGTCAAGCATCACATGTAAATCACATGGCCCTGAGGATGCTGCACTGATTTTAAGTGTGAAAAATGGTTGTAAGTCATTTTCGGTGCTGTTGTAACTTTGAATGGTCACTAAATGAACTGTTCTAAGTCAAGGCCTACCCGTATAGTCTATGGAACTTACACTTAACATGTATGTTTGCATGAGTCTTTGTGGGAAACTGTGCCACATAATATTTCTACAATACACTTATCTACAGTTAATTAACTAATTTTCAGTTTTAACCCAACACAACAGGCTAAAATGTGGTTAGCTAATATGTGGTTCAGTGTGTCATGTAAACAATCATTATATATGGTAATAATATCATGTAATGCTATAGATAAGAATTTGGTGAAGCGAGCTGCACATATAGGAGCTTCTAAATAACTGCACACAAAGGAAAGGCAGCTGTAGAATTGTCATTTCTTCCAAAGAATATTGGAAAATTAATGCTGGTTGATTTCTTCTTATCTTTAAAAATAGCTTCGAAAC